CCACTGTTCTCTTGTTGGTACTATTTACTGGTAATAGCCCTTTCAACGGATGGGTGAGTCAATACAATATCAGAACACAGAAGAGCCACATATCGCAGGACGTGGCTATCACGAGGTCAGGTTTGGATTGAAATTATGTGGATTCTAAAATCAGGTTCTATGCACACTTTTAGGTGTCCAGTTCGGGGTGAGTACTGCCACTCCATCAACCGGTATGGTTGTCATGTAAAAGGCTGGTCACGTTCAACAGAACATGTGCTGGATTGCGGTTGTCTAGCCGAAAACTGCTGTGGAAATGGATACATCAGAAGAAGGCCGTCCAGCTCAAGATACCTACATGTATTCTCCTTATCAATAGAGATCGGTCAGACCATCAAATCTGTTGAGTCTATCATGTTCTATGCAGTCATACCGTTAGTTTACAAACGCGACAGCTACTACACTACTGGTAGTCATCTGTCGGGTATAACACTGTACACTAGTTACATGTATGTACGCACAAGAAAAATAGTAGAGGCCGAAGAGTGTTCTTCTGTAACCCCAAGCTTCTTGTAAGACGATTGAGAAAATCGTCCTGTCTCTGTTTTTTTTCCTGTGTGATGCACGCTCCCCCCGTTTGATATTCACTCACATACTTGTACATGTAATGTGTCATGTGCATGATTGTACAAGTACTTCTTGTCTTTTCATGCATTATTGCGATTTGCAACGCCCTGTATCACGGTCCGCCAATATTCACCCCGTGCGTCTTACCCACTGTACTGACGATCTCAAACTAGAATTTTCCGAAGGTGCGTTTGACAAACCACGGCGGCCATCTTGCCAATAAACGAAGGTGAATATCACTAGCCCTTTCCCAAAGATGCCATAATTTTCGCAAATTATGCTTTTCGCAACCGTGCCAAAACAAGTGCAAGTTGCTGAAATCGCTTTTGTGCAAAAACCACCAAAAAAGGAGCAGAAATAGCAGAAGTGCAGCGACAGCAAACTCGTAGATCTACACCCCCTCCTGCTGTGAACCACAACTTTACGCAGTGCCAGTAGTAGGGGTAGGCGGATTATGCTTGGAAAATGACCAGATTATGCTCTAGCGGATGCTCGCAGGATGCTGGAGAAAACAGCGAATTATGCTTTTACATGTACATGTACATGTATTTGCTTCACCAAAAAGACCAAAAGAACAGATAATCGTCATGAAAAAAGGACTCAAGCCATTGTCATGATGTGGACTGGAAGCTTTGGGGAAGTACAAGACAATAATACAATGTATGCAAGAGGAATACCAAATAATAATTCACACACAAACGCTGAACCTTTGGGAGATGTCCTATAGTGGCAGCCTCATTGGGCATCTGCGCTTGTTTTTCGGATGCCATTCTATGCTCCTTCTCAAAAAGCACCTGATTATGCCAAATATTATGCCTTCAATTATTACTTCAACAGCAGGTGTGTATAACAGCCTCATTGGGCATCTGCGCTTGTTTTTCGGATGCCATTTTATGCTCCTTCTCAAAAAGGACCTGATTACGCCAAAAATTATGCCGGCATAATCCACTTACCCCTAGCCAGTAGCCTGTTGCATGATTGTACTGCACATGTATCCTACATCATTCCAGTGCACGGAAATTGGGAATGCACATTATCGTAACTGCCGTCGATCTACTGTTTCTCTGAAATGTTTCTGAAGGCAGGCGAGAAATTAGCGAGTACATGTATGCATTTGTCCGACATGTAGACTGTAGGCTGTGACTTGACTGTTTGACCCCATACTATGGCCAGTATGGGGCCAAGTTTGCGGAAACGTTGCGTGAAATAGTTCGCGAAAATGAAGAAAGTTGCGAAAGTAGCGATTTCTTCCTAAACGACGAAACGTTGCGAAAAAAAGTGGCGAACATCTTTGGGAAAAGACTAATATCACCCAAGGTATAAGTCTAATACTAGTATTACCTGAAGCCTGGGGAGTATGGGCTGGTATTCACTAGTATACAAACCTCGGGGGACGGGGGATCACGGTTTTGTACGCTAGTAAATACCAGTTTGGAGTTGAGAAGTGAAGTTTCCTAAACGAGTAAATACCAGCCCGTATTCTGGCACTTCGGCTTCAGGCATTATTATAATAGTACCAGGGGTTATTTATGTACACTTGATAGTACGTATTGTACTAGTGAGGACCACAGATATTGACAAGTTACCTGTGTACTAGTACATGCACTAATAGTATTAGCAAGAGTACATATACACATGCCCCCATGGGGGTTCTGTAAAGTAAAGACTTTACTTAGTAAAGTAATTTTAGCTCACGCATTTTCCTCTCTCAGAGCACGTACATGTACGTTCTTCCTCTTTGTACAATAAACTGAAAAAGCCGTTTTGAATGTCGATTCAGTTGGTCCTGTTGATCGCTAGTAGTAGATCAAGTTCGCTACCCTCAAACTAGGGCATCAAGCCATCAGTAGATTCTACATAATTCAATTATTGGCAGTAAGCATGCGGTACCGGTTCGCGGTGTGCGGTCCTGAGCGACATAGGCAGTGTAACTTTGTAAGTCTACATCGGGACCGGGATCCCGGGAATATGATAGCGCCTTCAATATTCGCGCGTCATACATGCTCAGCATGTCTTTTAGGTCTCCGTGTACGAATACATGTACATGGTGTAGAGCCAGGCCAGGGGGCTGAGTGAAGGGCAGCGGGGACCGCAACGTCTTGTATGTAACAAGACAGACACACTTGTCCAGCCGAAATGCATTTTTGCACGATCCTGACAGTTGCTCCTTGTCTCATACTGTGGCTTCAGCTGCAACATGTAGCTGTTCAAATTCAGACCTTCTGTGGCTAGGTGATACGCAGAACCAGCGATCAATGAGTATGCGCAGAGGAAAGGGAGCCCCGGCATTCTTCACGCTAGCATCGCATGCCATATGCTCCGATCCCGGAACTAAGAGGAAGATCGAGCCCGCCGCTAGGTCACAGTATTTGCTCGAATAAAAGACGATCGGAAAATCATTCCCGGCATTTCTGACCCGTGTGCCATCGAAGAAAGAAGAAGACTAAATGACCAGGATCTCGCAAGAAATGACTATGGCAAGTTTCCGCACCGAGTCGACAACTGCAGTGTCAAGTGGCCGGAGAGTTTTCCGTACCAATCCGAGCTCGTGGCCGCTCGTCCTGTGCCTGTTCATCTCGGCACTGTGGTGGGCCTCGGCGGAAGAAATCGTGACTACAAATGGTGGCTGGTGCCGCTTGGCCTGCGCTGAACTGCGATACCACAACTTCAGCATCGCAACTGCTCGGCTCATGAAGGACGTTGCCAGCAGGTTCAGCTCTGCATTGCCGCGAAAGGACCTCACTTTGAATGTAACACCTCACGCCGTCAAGCCAGGTCAGTTGTAATCCTTCTAGACTCAGTCATGATCCATTCCAGAGTATTCGTGAGTGTCCTCCATGGTGCTGAACGACGACAAAAGGTCCTGAAATGCCATTCAGTTGTGTCCAAGCAAGCCTAGGAGCAATGTATACCTATTTGGGGAGATCAAACTAAAATTGCTTTCTTGCACTTTATTGAACAGGGCTAACACGCGTAGATCTACGCACCCCGGGTACCCCCCACCAAGACCAAGTGAGGTCCAGAACTCCACGGTACTGGCCAAAGAAATCCAACCTCATGAGTAACATGGCGCTGGGCAATATGCAGCCCCAGCACTACACACACAGTTCTGTGCACTGGAACATGGTGCTACATTATTCATGAGGTTGGATTTCTCCCAGGCCAGAACCGTACTTGTCATGATTTGTCATATTCAGCCTGATGAGATTGGGCAACCCGTGATGCAGCGGCTTGCCACGTGAGCTGAGATCGTTTCCCCCCAGGCCATGACCGGCACATGACTCATTGAGTGAGATGTTTTTTTTTATTCTACACTCATACATGTACCTCGTTTATCCGGGCGGTCCGGGACCAGGCACTGCCTGTAACTGTGAAATACCCATAATTATTATTACGAATCGCATACATGTTGATGGGGAAAGGCCACAAATGCAGATATGGCATATGGCGCCACTATTTCGACAAAAAAGTAATAATAGAGTAGTAATATTTCAACTAAAACTCGCCCAAAGGATGCCCGGTAGAGCTAAGTTCCCGTAACTTCGGGGTCCGGATAACGCAGGTATGAGTGTGCCGAGTTTTGGCGTCTAGTATTGTCGGTCGCCGAAGACCTGCAGGGTCAGCCTCTTAGCGGCCCAGACCGTTCCTATCTTCATAATTACAGTCTACGCAAGGTTGAGTCAACGTGTGTACATTGGTGTGCAGTGCCGTGAGTAGGTCGTTCTTAGTCGCCCGACAATACTGTACATGTACATATACATGTAATTGACATCAAGATCATGTGCACTGCCGGCCATGCTTAGAGTACCTGTTGCAGTTCCCAGCTCTGACTATACATGTAATTATGACGGTCTGGCTGAATGTGCTCTTGAAGTGAAATACATGTTCATGCCGAAATCCCCATGATCAGCAGCAGAAGCCACAGGCCACGTATAATCATAGAAGTAATTGGGTGTGGAAGTAGGCAATACGATAATGCCCCTTTCCTTGTGCTTTCTGTAAATATGAGTGTGTTGTACATGTACATGTAGCTGTGTCACGTGTGTACCTGACCCTACAGGCTGAGTGAGATACAAATGATAAACTGTCGTTGTTTTTTGTATAAAAGAAGGGGCCAAAATATTATTTGAAGTACGAGTTTCAACTAACAGTCCACCAAGGTAACAAGATCGTACAGTCAGATAGTGCGACAACAAGGTACATGTACAACACTGATAGGGGTGCTGAGACATTCAAACACCTAACACCTAGCTCCAGCACGTCTGCAAGGCGCAGACCAACCACCGTCCAACTCTCCCCTTCTTTCAATATCCAATACCATTGCATCACTAGACACGTTGTCATAGTCATTTCGAATGTGTTAAAGAATATACGTATGCATTTGTGTGTGTGTGTGTGTGTGTGTGTGTGTGTGTGTGTGTATGTATGTGTGTGTGTGTGCACGTACATGTGTGTGTGTGTGTGTGTGTGTGTGTGTGCATGTGTGTGTGTATGTGTGTGTGTGTGTGTGCATGTGTGTGTGTGTGTGTGTGTGTGTGTGTGTGTGTGTGTGTGTGTGTGTGTGCATGTGTGTGTGTGTGTGTGTGTGTGTTTGTGTGTGCATGCGTGCATGCGTGCACATGTGTTTGTGTGTGTGTGTGTGTGTGTGTGTGCATGCGTGCACATGTGTTTGTGTGCACGTGCATGCGTGTGTGCATGGAGTGCGTGTGTGGATCTGTGCACACGCATGCGTGTGTACATGGTGTTTGGATGTTATGTGGATGTGTGTACTGTATGTGCATATGTACATGTGTGCGTGTATGTGCATGTGTGTGTATGTGTGTATGCATACCCATACGCACCGTATGGGTATGCATATAATGTGTGTGTTGCCATGTGTGGATATGCGTACTACAAGTACAGATATGTACTTGCTGCTGCCTGAACTACATGTGCATAATTTCAACTTGTGTTAGCAAGGGTCACCAATCCTACCGACAATTGACCCTCCTGGGAATTGTCTCTTAGCGGTAAAGCTGCGCACGTGTGTCTGTGCCAGTGGCAGCCGGCGCGTCACGAGTAACATCACGCACTGCATGGTTGCATGCGCATGCGCCTCGTACCTGCACACAGTGACAGTTTGTTCACTGGTAATATCACGTTACCTACCCCATTGCGCGTGAACGCCCATCCCTCACCTTGCCGCATAGCCACAGGCCTGTCAGGTCTGCTAGTATAGCCACAGTGCATAGCATTAGGTATGTTTACAATCTAGCCCTAGTGTAACTAATGTAGTGCTTGGACGTACGGTCCCATGCATTCCGCGAAAGGACTGCATCTCCTCATTTACATAAGCAGAAAGGCACACAGCAGGAATGTACGACTCAGCATATTTCGTTCTTCCTCCCGAAGTCCGCTGCCATACCTGGAGACACCATGTTGCAAGTAGATGTGTTGCGGTGGTGCTTGGTACTCGCTGCAGCATTCTGAACGTTATCCAAGTTGTTTACACTCTTGTCCTTCGGTCAGGCTTGTGCATCTTGCGGGGACCGACCCTGACGACGACACTGTGTGTTGGCGGCTGTATCATAGCATCAGCTGTCAGCCAGGTCTACTAATGGGGAGAGTTGGCTCATGGCGAGTGACTGTCTTGTCACTTTCAACGGCTTCAACCCTTTATTTGTGTGACGTGCGTATTGTCGTCTGTCACACTTAGTGACCCGCTAGCTGAACAGCACCATGACTGACTGCTCTTGATCGCACATATGCTGTACACCACGGTTGCTGAAAAACCATGACTGACCGTCTTACAAAGCAATGCCTTCTTGCAGAGAACCAAAGGAGACATCCAAGGGGGAAAAGAGAGTCCAGCTCGCATAGTCTAGTTTGTTTGAGGTCGGGTGTCGTGAATGTTTCTCTTTGCATTGGGTAAACACTTTAAACAGTACTTTAGTTCAAACACCAGGCATGTTTTCCCAGTTATTTTCACGCCCCTCGTATATACAATAGTGTGCGTTGGCGATGAAGCAGAGAACCTTCTGTCAATGGAAGCGGTGCCGGATCATCCCTATCCGGCTCTGGTGTTCATAACCACCGCATGTGTTTCAGTGGATGTCAGGTTAACCGCTTTTGGCTGCATCTCCTGTCTGCCATGTTTGCCTGCAGACTGTTCGAGCACCAGCGCTACCCCTGGTCAATCTGTGTTCTTCTACAAGGTGAAGATCTCCAGTGCACATCCACACCTGCAAGCTGTCGACAGTGTCATGCTGCGGCTGCCATACTACAGGACCCGAACGCGGTGCCGTCCGTTTCTCGAGATCTTCACGCCGGCATCGGCTACGTCTCGCTACTGCACCGGCAGCAGCTTACGCCTGGCCGATGAGGCGACGACGCGGACAAGCGGAGGCAGGACCACCGAGGAGTTCAACCTGACCGAGAGCTGGCTCAAGTCGTCGGCTCTCTATCAGAAGTTCCTGCACAAGCAAAGTCACGTGTACCTAGCAGTGTACTACAATGACACGCTTACAGACACCGGTACGGAGGCCAGGGAAACATCCGACCCTGGCCGGATAACATTCTCATTCCGTTCACCAGTGCAAGAGGCAACCCCGGATCCAAAGGCATGCTTGATTAACGGCCACATCCTGGAGGCCGCCAGTACTGTCGAAGGACATATGCGACAATGTCAATCAGGCTACCCAACCAGCGACACCGTTCATGTTACAGTGGACTTGCAGCAGAAATTCCGAGCATTTTTCGGCACCAGCATCAACATCAAGCCGAGCAGCTTCATATACAAGATCAAGCTGCCCAACTGTGTCAGCCCGAAACTTCAAGGAAATTGGATTGGCCAGATTGATCGTTGGGGCAAAACCGGCGTCTTGAACGATATTCTGCCATTTGTACGGGAAACGAACTACAGGTCTTTCTTGTTCCCCATGTGCGAGCAATGCTCCCAGACATTTGCCTTCAATGTAAGTTTTGACAACACGCTCGAAAGGCTGGAGCATACCTTCCAGTACACGGTTGGACGGCAATGCTTTAAGTAACGCTGCGGTGCAGCACTGCAAAAGTCAGCACACTGCTCCAGCAGCCAGCCAAATGCCAGCCCTCCCCCCCCCCCCCTACTACCACTACTGCCCAGCAACGGTAACCATAGTGGCAGCAGTGGCAGCAGGACACTGTACAGTACTTGAATGAGTATGCAATGTTACCTGCAATGTACTCACACTGCTTGTCTGACTACCCAAGGTTCATATTGGCCGGAAGAACTCTGGATGAGCTTGATACACGATTTCCTTTGACGAATTTGATGACGCTAGTAGTAGTACCGAACCTGTGCAACACTTCACACTGTAGCCCAGCTTTCTGTTGAGCACCTAACCGTCTTTTCCACTAGGCATGGCGTGCATGGCACTGTATTGACACCTGCTTGCCACCATCGTTGAGAAATTTGTGAAGCCAAGACCGGGTTTTGTGATGAAGCCGAGACCGAAGGTCAGCAGAGCATCCCAGACCACACCACCACTCCCCGTATTCATGGCTCACACATGACGGGTTTACATGGCTCTAGTAAAAAATATTTAAAAAATGCAAAGGGGAGCTGTTTTGTTTCCATGACACCCCAGGCTAGCGGCCGTCCGATCCTGAGTCTCACAAGCCGTCACTACGTATACCCAACATCCATATTATTTGATGTGACAAAGGGAAGCGAGTTTACGGCGGAGTGAAACAAACACAGCTGCTGCAACAGCTAGCAAGCAGCTAAGGCTTGTCATGCATGGCGTGCAAGTACTGGTTATGATTGTACCCCAGTGTTGCCTTGGTTACTACTACGGATATCTCCAGCACCATGGGCCGGCAAGAGAGTCGGTTCTCCTCTGCGCATAAAGTAGAAGGTTTTGCCAGAATGGTCTGCTGGCCAGGCGAATGCTGATTTCCAGAGTTCTTGCCTTTTGCTACGGTGTGTGTGCACACAACATCATGTTTAGTTATTCTCTTGGTAACACAGTTTCAGATGCCTCACCTGCATGTGACCTGCATGTGATCTACATGGGGCATTGACGTTCCCTTGGCCCTCTGGCCCAGTTCTACTATATGTACACTGCAAGTGTCTACTACGATCTTGAGGCGAAATAAGAAGGTAAAATAATCACTACATGGATGAGAAACTCGATGGTTGAAAACACCGACAAGCAGAGTTTGGTCATACCATTTCAGTTTTCCTTCTTATTGTGTGAGCATAATGCTACACTTCAAGGTCCCGTTCTTCATAACTTACTTCAAGCTCTCTTGTTTGTTCTGTTCATGCTAAGCCAACTTTGCCTGGGCACGCAGTACACGGTCGGTAGAAGTTGTTTGTGTATATTGGTGTTTGCGTGCTCACGTGTGTGGTTGGGTGAGTGTTTATGTGTGTAAGTCCATGTGTGTATGTGTGTGCGTGTGTGTGTGTGTGTGTGTGTGTGTCACAATGTTTGTATGTGTATGCATGTGCGTGTGTTTTTGCACTTGTGTGTGTGTGTGTGTGTGTGTGTGTGTGTGTGTGTGTGTGTGTGTGTGTGTGTGTGTGTGCATATAATATTGTGTGCCGCTGCGTTCATGTGCACTTGTGCACCGGTTTTTGTCAGCGCATGTGCAGCACATAAAATTTTTGTACTTATGCCATGGTCGGTGTACATGGTGTATCGCTGCACAAGTATAATATGGCTGTATAGCAATCCTAGTATGGCACATGTATATGTATGCGCATGCCCGCGGGCTTTTTCATATTGTAAGTGTGTTCAAGCATGCGTCCAACACCACAGTGATCGTCCAACACCACATTGATTGTCTAGTATATTCAATACATGACTACATGTACATACATGTGTGTAGGGAAGGTGTTTGCTCCCCACACCGGAACTCGCCCTTTTCTACCGGCTTGACTTGACATGTGACTGACTCTTGGCTATCTCGTACTATCTCGTACTATTGTATAATGTAATTCGGAGTACGTCGTGTGGAGTGTACAAGACAGTACCTGTCCAGGCTTGGTGGCGAGGCGAACGGTGCAGGTTATACGGTAGATGAGCAGTTTACCATGGTTTACACAAAGCTGGGCGGAAAGAATGGGTAGGTGAGGTATGTGTTTTACTTTTAGTAGGGTCTATGTACCTGATGTACAAACTCTAGGGCTGGCAACCGGTGACGTCACAGTCACACGACACTTGCATGGAGCTGCTTCTAGGTCTAAACTAACGTTATCACTGCATGCGGTGTTTGCCGTTGATCTTCGCTTGAGGGTCTGAATCTGGGAAAAACCCCATCATGCACATGTGAGTGATGCCCCAACAACAGTTCTCTGGTAGACCCTACACATGGTCACAGTGCAGATGCAGGATCAATGTTGTTCTTGATTATAGGGTTGTTGCAAAAGTTTTTGGTCGCTGCTCAAACAAACACCTCTCATTTCGTACTCTAAACTGCCCGTCTTTCACTTTCAGAGATTTACCCATGCAGAATCAGGATGTTGATTAATATGGTGGTACACACACACCTGGCAATATGGCGGTAAATAACGCACACGCCTGCCCACACACGCTCTCGACTCTAGGCTGCAAAGTTATTCTGGCAAAGAGCTCTCCTTCTCACCACCACCACCATCAGTTCGTGCCTGGTGCCTAGTCGATGCATGGTTAGTGGTATCTGACATAGTAGGCTGGTACATCAGGTAACGCATCGCGCATAGCAGATAACACACTGGCAACAACATAGCTCGATTGCGAAGTACGTTTCGTCCCCGCTGGACTCATTTGTAATTTTTATTGTTTAATTTAAAAGGATTTCCCAAGGCCGGCTTTCGCCTATCGATTGAGGGGGTTTCCAAACTCTCCTTAATACCAAATCTGTAAAAGAAGTGATGAGCAATATGTGAGCAAAGAAAGAGAAAAAGACATAGTCTAGGGCAGAGCTCTGCGCTTGAGCATATGATTGTAAGCGTGCAGAACTGGGATAATACATGTAAATGATGAAAAATGTGCCAGAGATAAGCTTCTAAAGAGTACGATGTGACGCTACATATTCAACGGAATTCCACTGCAGTGAAACTAATGCTCGTAGAACTGTTTGTGCAGTTCTTGCTTAAACGGGAAGTGCATCGATTTTTCAAGTAGGGCTCAGATGAAGGATATCGGTTCCGATGGTATTATCTCTCGCTTGCGTACGCCGGTACGGCAAGGGAAACTTGCCATATCGCCGATTTCCTGATCCCGTTTCCATGGCGACTACAGGTGATGACGCACATTCTGCTTAGCTCCGTGAGAGAGAAGGTCGATCACTGAAGAAGTGTGTCATTTTCAGTTGTCTTCTCAGTTGTATTCACGAAGTGAAAGAAGTACTGTGTTCAAGGCTGTTAGTGCCGTGAACTGTTTATTAGTAGTCCTCTCCGTTGTGTACTGGGACGTGACACCGACAGGGGAAAGCTGGAGTGCGGAGACGTTAGCTGGCAAGCGAAAATCGTGACGAACCAAGTGCTGAAATCTTGGTTGGGACAAATCAAACGTTCAGCATTTACCTCAACCAAGGACCATGCCGTTTGCTCTTTCCACTTCCTGAAGATGGATGCGCTGCCTGCTGGAGACTCTCCCATCTCTCGTAACATCTTCTGAAGCCAGGTGAGACGGCGAGTAGCGGAGATTAGCGAACGAAATAATGTCGTATGTTTTGAAATTTTTGTTGAACAAAATATCGAAGAATTGAAAAAGCGGAAATTGCCGGCAAAATCAGAGCAAAATATCAAGATGGGTAAAATCAAGAGTACATGAAGGTTTTCATGTACTCTTGGTAAAATCGATGCCTGATACTTGGATTTCCGGCCTTGTTTCTTTAGCTCTTACCCGTTTAGCATGATACCCTGTCCAGGATCGATCATCATCACCGAAATATCACTGTGGCCGTGCGGGATCGACATGATTTTGGAAGAACCCAGCCCAGCTCGAGCGTTCAGATCAGGTAAGGCCTAATAAGGTCTGCAGGGCCTAGGGCCTTCCCTATCAAAATCGTAGATTTCGCTAGGACCCGCAGAGTCCGACGTGGAATCGGGGTTACACGAGGAGTGAAGGCGAAGAATGTGACAGTGTGTTGGAAATTGTGAAAACTAGAGCGAATTGAGGCCAAACAGCTTCTCAGACTTGTTCAATCGATGTCGGTTCTGTTCGTGAGAACGGCCATTACAGCATGCTATGTTTCTTTGATCTACGCAAGGCCTTACACAGTATGGACACGCGGGCTCCTATACAAGCTGTCGAGCCATGGAATCCATGGTACTTGCTTCACGTGGCTCAGTAATTACCTGATGGGCAGACAGCAAAGGGTGCGTGTCGGCTCTGCTCTGTCTGCCAAAGGGCATGTACGGTCTGGAGTTCCTCAGGGATCAATCCTGGGACCTCTTCTCTTTCTTGTGTATGTAAACGATCTGGCAGAAATGGAACACACATCGCTATATGCTGATGATACAGCACTACTTGTGACAGCACCCACTCTACCCGAGGCTAGCTGCTAGTGCCAAGTTACAGTCCGACATAGATGCCGTTATTCATCGGATGGAAAAATGGAAATTGCAGCCCAACTCTTCGAAAACTGCTGTAATGTGTATCCCCCCCCCAGTTGTTCATGTGACCTATCTTCATTAGAAACCAGTCCCTTCACCTTTCCAGGCACCACAACCCCGCTCTGCATCGTTGAAAAACACAAGCATCTTGGCGTCATTATTGACCAACACTTAACCTGGAAATCCCAGATCGAAAATTTAGACAGCCGTGTTAGCTCAGTAATGGGATTTCTCTCATCACACATCACCCACCTCCACACCGACTGTCACCATGTTATCTACACATCTTACATTCTGCCTATTTTTGATTATTGCTGCATAATTTGGGCTGGCATTTCTAAAACACTGATTGCTCGACTCGAAGTTATGCATAGGCGTCTTTTGAAAATATTATTTCGGCTTCCTCGCCTGACTCCAAGCACAGACTTATGCTGCCTTGCTTCTGCTGTGCCGCTCTCGGTCCGCGTGCGTTTTTTGGCATCCCAGACAATTCATAAAATTAAGCTGGCCATTGCTCCTCCTCATGCTCTCCCTGACCACTTGGTGGTGGGTCTGATCTACTCACCTCCCACCGTTCAGGCGCTGCATCTGCGCCTTTGATCCTAGAGGGTGGTGGCGTTCCCACGGCGGATGCGGAAAACTCGGCTTCCAGCCGAGTCTCACGCGAACCATGAAATTTATTTTTAATTTATGCTCTCTCCTGCCTAAGCTGGTTTGTTCAATCTCAAGACATGCGCACCAGAAACTCTCTTCGCTTCCCTATTGCGCGGTCTGCCTCTATGCAAACATCTCCTCTCTTCCTCGCTTACCGCCATTGGTCTCTCCTCCCACGAAATCCAAAATCCTGCCGATGTTACAATACATTCACACAGCTACTGCAGAATGCAGCATACTAGTTCAATCACGGATAATTCAGTATCCAGCCCTGCCCTAGCTCCCCGTGCTTCTCTTACTTTTCAGTTCCCCTTTCATTCTTTTTCTTTCTCCCCTCTAGCTCTATTACCGCCATGGCTGGCTATCGCCCACATTACCATTTCATTGGCTAGTGCCACGTGATTGTGAATAAATAATAATAATAAAACACACTGTCACATTCGAAGCCGAAGCTCCGAAGTGTAATAATAAATTCTACTACGCGACTACTAGTATACTACCGTACTACTATAATAATTTTAAAGGGACACGAGTGTGAAAATCCGTGGATAAAATACATATTTTTCCAGAGCAAAATACGGAGGATTAGCAAGACGAAATTCGCGTTCGCTCTCCAAGGAAAGTCGAACTCAGTGACGGAATTCGCGTTATGAGAAGGATTAGCAAACAGAATTCGCACATGCATGACGTTGACACGACGTACATTGTGTACAGACAGTACAGCGTGGAAAATGTATGACTGTCCTGACACGAATCCGCGATTCGTGTTCCGACTACTTTTCCGAACGAAAAATGCGAGAGTTCGCTATCCAGTTCGCGAACTGAAAAATGTTTGCGAACGCGAACGCGAATTTCGTCTTGCTAATCCTCCGTAATATCGGTTTCTGAACACGCTTTGTCCTGCCCCATTGGCGGCTACCCCTCCAGGCGTCACAACGACCTCCGTGATTTAACAGCATCCCTCCTGAAGGACGTGGCCCATGACGTGAGCACCGAACCTTCGCTGCAACCGATCACGGGTGAGACCCTGCGTCATCGCACAGCGATCTCAGCCGACGGCGCTCGCCTGGACGTGGCAGCATCCGGCATATGGGGTGGGCGTTTCGAGAAGACGTTCCTAGACATCCGCGTCTTCAACCCTCATGCACGGTCCAACCGCCAGCAGTCACTTCCAGCTACTTACCGAAAACACGAAGCTGAGAAGAGGCGCTCGTATGAGGAGCGAATCCGTGAAATTGAGCACGCCTTTTTTGTGCCGGTCGTCTTGAGTGCATCTGGAGGATTCGGGAAAGCGGCCACTGCGCTCTACAACAGAGTTGCCTGTATGCTTTCGGACAAGAGAAAAGAGCCCTATTCCACCGTACTGGCCTGGATCAGGTCAAGGGTCTCTTTCTCTCTTGTCCGCTCAGCAAATGATGCTAGCCTCCGTGGACATCGTGCCGCTCAACCGAAATCTAACCGAGCTTTGGCTGACATTCCCGCTGTGCTGGCCGCAGCAGAATGCCACTTCTGATCCTCTGTTCCATTTTTCTTCTTCTTTTACTTGTGTTGCGTGCACAATTGATCTTGGTTCTTCCATTATTATTTGCCATGGCGACCCCCGTAAGTCCAAATAACTGGCAGGGCAGGGTTGGGCCTTTTTTTCTTTTTAACGAGTCTCCGATTATGTTCTATTGCCCGTGCAGTGGCAGTACCAGGCGTGGGCCATCCCCTGGATTATCAAAATGGGTGCCTTATCATTTTCTGTTATTTTTACACTTCTTCGTGCTTTGTAATGAATAGTACAGCTGCAAAAAAAAAATAATATTATAAATTATCGGTTTCAAGTAAGTTCCATGATCCAGGCCAGGCTCGGCAAAATTTCGAAGATTTCGCAGCAACATTTTGCGGCAAAATATCGAGGATCAGTAGTACTGCGCGCGCGGAGTCTAGAACGGTAGACGTCTGGCCCTAGCCCTGACGTCATGACGGCCATAAATCTACGGTACGGTACAGATGTCCGGCGCGCATCTGCGCTGTCTGCACAGAGTTTGAATCGATCTGCTGTTTGACATGATGAAATTAATTGTTTCAGAAGATTTCGATTTCTTGTCTTTTCTGGGCATTGGTGCTCCAAGCAGAGGAGGAAAGTGATTTCTTTCAGAGTAGTGGAGCTGTTGAAGCAGAATAATAAGAATGGCGGACAGGCGCGACCACGTGCTAAGCGTGGCCAGTGCGTGGCTGGCGATGCCTTCCTTCAGCATCATGTGCGTCTACCTTGGAATGGTTCTAATCGTCTCACCAATATGGCGAAGAGTCGTACCTGCCCTGAGCCTGGGCTACATGGTGGTGGCGTACAATGCACTGTGCTCAGCGCTCAGTCTCGTAACGCTGCTGCTCTTCTTCGTACCACTGGCTGCCGGCTGGGAAGCGTCGATGTTCTCCATCGAGAGGTGCAAAACGGAGTACATGGCCCTTGCATTTCAGCTGTACTACTACACGAAGGTGATCGAGCTGCTGGACACCGTGTGGATGATACTGCGTCACAAGAGCCGCCAGATCACCGTGCTCCACGTGTACCATCATTCCATCATGGCCGTGCTGGGTGATGCTGCCTACATGACTAGTCTGCCGGGCGTCGCGTTCGGCCTGGGCATGAACTCCGCGGTCCACGTCGTCATGTACATGTACTACTTGGTCACGGCGTGGCGCAGCATGAGCAGCACCACGGGCACTGGCGGCGAAGGCACGTCGGCGCGCAGCCCCGCGTTCCTGTTCTCGCCGTTCATGGAGCGCATACTGCCGCTGTGGAGGCAGCGCATGACGGAAATGCAGCTGCTGCAGTTCTTCATCGGCGGTGTGCACAACCTGTGGGGATACAAGTACCACAGCTTCTGCCCGTACGGCAGCGTCTTTCTCTTCACGCTGGTCGTGCTGTTCTCCAACTTCTACTACCGCGCGTATCTGAAGCCAAAGCGGAAACAGCCGCCCGTCGACACGAAAAAATCAGAATAGAAAGCAAAACAGATAGTAATTATTTCACGGTTGTCCGAAAATTAGTTTTATTTTTCAATTTCAAATTTCTCCTTCCATCGAGTTTGGTGTGGGATATCTATCTGCTCTATTCAACACCTGGGGTCGGTCTTATCTTTCCTTCGCCTGATATTCATTTTATTGATCTACAAGTTCAGTTTCAGGTTTGCGTGAAAGCGTCCGTGCCGCCGTACTAAGAATTATGACTGTCCAGCAGCTCTATACAGTCATGTACTCCCTCCCGGTCATTCGAGTCACTGCAGTTTTATTCGCAAGTCTCACTGCCAGTTTAGGTTTACAGTTTTACACTGACATAGACTAATATTCCTTGGCTGCTCCTGGATTACCGTCTGACATTTCTCTCCAGTCAACTGCGAGTCGTGTTCAAGGAACACAATATTTGCCATATTTACTTTGCGCCTACGTGTTTTGCATGGTATTTCTCCAATCATTGGCTACATCATCATGTCATCACCGAATATGGCAATGTTCACCACATGGCAATTCTCAATCTCAACCCTGGCCGAAGTTCTCGGTGGGTGAACAAATGTGGCAGTGTTTTTCTGGATCAGGATTCCGCCAGAGAGTCTTCGAATGCCGTATTTGACTACGGTACTCCCTGAAATAATATTGGACTAAAGTGCAAAGTGATTGCAACAAGTACATTTACGGAGTCTTGAGTGATAACCTGACATATTTCACCAGTTCCTACTATCGAGAATTTGTCTAAATAAGGCGATGGCTGTTATCAAGCAATATTTTTGTACTTGAGTTTGATACAATGTTTTTAGCCTTGCCCTTATATGGCTGTTTGAAAATACATGCGGGTGAATAGGTCAAACGTAGCTCATCTTAGCTCCAGGCCATCTGTGCAGTGTGCTGCGGATTAGGCCTTGGCGGATAGTGCCGGCAGAAAAATTGGCAGAATTCGGTACTTTTTCTGGTAAGTTTCATGCATGTTTGGTATGTGGATAAAGAAATGGAGCAGAATTCGAGGAACTGCACGCCATAAGGTTTGTATGGTTCTGCCAATTTCACTGCTTTTCGAGCAGAATCTGCCACCTTTTCGAGCATTATCCGCCAGGGCCTACTGCGGATTGAGTTGGAGAAGTTTCATTTTAAAACGTACTTGTCATCAAGCAGGCCGGGCGTCGGAAGGTCATTTTTATGGTAGTACGGTCAGCCACCTGAGGTACACTTGTTGAGAGGGGGTCACGGCTCCGCTGACAATTTTCGAAATTCAGAGTCCACATCGGTGCTTTTGATTGATTCACGGGATACCTTTCTTTGGCATTACCCCCAGCACAGCGTACGGCTGGCTTTTCTCGGATTGGCTATCTCGCTGCTGACCGGTGGAATATGCTGCCTTCCACTGTTCGTACGTGTACAGATTACCGCTCATTTATTCGCTCATGCATAACCTTCCTAGGGGCTCCCGTAAGAAGACCATACGTCTGTGGAAAACACCCTAGTAAAATAAAAGTTAATAATAATATTATATATATAACCTGGGGGCTGGGGCAAAGAGTGGTACGGTCAATACCGTAGTGACCGTAGCGTGTCCGACGCCCCTGCTGTGACTAGGGAGGGGTTTGTGAAACGCCATGCTTTACGAGCCGGGCTTTCTTTCTCAACAGGATGCGGAACTTTGTCATTTGGATAGTATGGATGGGAGAGGAGTGCCGAAGAACGTGTTCATTCTGGGGCGGTACAACTCTTTTGGGAAAATTTTGACTGCATTTTTTTTATCGGCAAGGCAGAGATGAAATTTGAAAATGTTTTCTGGTGAATCGCTGGAGAATAGCCTTCTCTAGATTCTGATTCCTATAGTTTTATTTTTATTTTTGGACAAAATTTGAAAACGTTTTATGTAGGGGTGAAACAATTATACCGAGTACTCGAGTACTCGCTCGGTTTTTTCAAAAATAATCGTACTCGGAATAAATCAGAGTACTCGTTCATACATGGTACATGCATTTACTACAGAAATCTGCAGTTTCAGGGCAGCAGTCGGCAGATGGTGATGTGCAGGCTGTGTGGTGAACATTTGTTCACGAGTAGAGAGAGCCCAAATGACCCACCAACCAATATACCCGAGAAAAATGACTGCTACTCGGTTCAATCAGGGTTGTATCATGTTATTTTAAAGCCCTTGGTGTGCAATTTTTAGGAGATGAAAAATACTCGAATACTCGAATATTCGATCGGAGAAAATCAGAGTACTCGAACTCTGGATCTCAGTGCCAACTTTCACCCCTAGTTTTATGAAAGGTTCGTGTTATTTTTTCACGGACCTTTCATAAAACCTTTTCAAATTTTGTCCAAAAGTAAAAATAAAACTATAGGAGGCAGTCAAAATGTAATCAAAATGACCCCTAAAAAGTTGTACCGCCCTAGCCATCTGAAAACATCAACATCCAATGATTACTGTAAAAGCCATATTTATAACGAAGTTGAAACTCGGATGTTGAGCCATATAAATAAATGTAGAAAGGAAAAGGACATATGGATACGAGTTAAGGTGGCTGGGGCGGTACAACTTTTTAGGTGTCATTTTGATTACATTTTGACTGCATTTTTGAGTTTATCGGCAAGGTGGAGATGAAATTTGAAAATGTTTTCTGGTGAATCTCTGGAGAAGAGCCTTCTCTAGCTTCCTATAGTTTTATTTTTACTTTTGGACAAAATTTGAAAAAGTTTTATGAAAGGTCCGTGAAAAAATAACACGAACCTTTCAAACGTTTTCAAATTTTGTCCAAAGGTAAAAATAAAACTATAGGAAGCTAGAGAAAGCTATTCTCCAGAGATTCACCAGAAAACATTTTTAAATTTCATCTCTGCCTTGCCGATTAACTCCAAAATGCAGTCAAAAATTTCCCAAAAAAGTTGTACCGCCCCAGCCACCTTAAGAGTAACTCTTTATCACTGTAACTGGATACTATATACAGTCAGAAAGTGCAATAACTAGGCACAAAACTGACAGAGTAATGAGACATTCGACGTCCTGACACCTAGCTTCAACACATCTCCGTAGCGCTAACCGACAGCCTTCCAACTTGGAAGGTTCAAGGTTATGTCCCTCTTTGGTCTTTCCATAACCTTGAACCTTCCAAGTTGGAAGGCTGTCTGTTAGCGCTACGGAGATGTGTTGAAGCTAGGTGTCAGGACGTCGAATGTCTCATTACTCTGTCAGTTTTGTGCCTAGTTATTGCACTTTCTGACTGTATATAGTATCCAGTTACAGTGATGGAGAGTTACTCTTAACTCGTATCCATATGTCCTTTTCCTTTCTACATTTATAACGAAGTGCTAATTCTAACGAGTTAACGAGGAGAAATCTGTCGTTATAATAGAAATCGTTATACAGAAATCGAGACAATACTGTTGCTATTGAGGGTTGAGAATGAGTGAGAACCGTTACCTTTGGTACGCGTAAACCAGTCAATTTTAGGAAATCGTTATATACGCGCCCTGTTAGAATAATGGCGTTTACAGTATTAAAAAGGAGCAGCAGGTAACGTTACGTTGCGGGAGGCGGATTCATGCGGAAACTTTTTTTAAAGAAAAATCTGCGAGTTTCGATTTGATTCCTCTAGTCTAGTTTAGGGACAAGCCCTAAATTGGGATCATCCATGCATGGTAGCTTTTGCGGCGAAAAATTCCCACCGAAAATGCTCTATAATACTGTATTTCCCCGAATATAAGTCACACCTTTTTGCACTAATTTTCAGGGCCAACAAAGGGGGTGCGACTTACAATCGAGCATGATATGCTACTTAAGTGAATGTATTGAAACGATATGACATAGACGTGAAAATGGAGATGCGACTTACAATCGAGTGCGACTTATAATCGGGGAAATAAGGTATTGTAAAATGGGTAATGTTTGCGACAGGAAATGTTTGTGTTTTTTTTTAATAAATTCAGACTAGTTTGCGAAGTTCGAAATTGGCACGTCACGCGGCTTGAAAAATTGGGAGCATTTGTGACGAGTTTGCAAAGTTTAAAGTCTGCGATTTGACACCTGTCGCGAAAATCCCAAACATTTTTATGTCGCAAAACGATAACCGCTTACAGCACCCTTTTTCTCCTGCCTGCGGAATTGAGTTATGAGAACTGCAAGGAAAACACATAACGGCTTGACATTCTATACTCTCTCAGTTAGAAGCAATACGTCCAGTGCCTACTCAGCCATCACAGCAATACCGTGACTAATTACCCGCAAAGAATGAAGTAGCCATCTGCAGACATCAACATCTTGCACTTCATTATTGACCGGGAGAGGTAGTGGTAGTGCCGGGGTTGGGTTTTCCGCTTCACCAGTACCAACACTCCAACAGCCAGTCCTCTCAGGCTATGTCCGTGATTTCTTCAAGAGAGGCGTTGTTGTGAAAATACCGCATCTATTGTAGTCAATGGTTCATGTGGTAGGAATGTATTCTGATGTTCTGATAATTCTGGGCCAGGATTGAAAGTGATTCTAACTCCATTATGTATCCTGGAAGAGCCATACGTATGTCCATAACGTTGTGAGAATATCAGGCCCTCATACTTGGTAGTTTAGTCTCCACAGCCTCTGTCCTAGACTGGCAATCACCTGCCAGACAATCAGTAAAAATCTAGATACCCACAGCTACGCATATCGGCGAAATAATATGGCATGCCAGTGCTTCCTAATGTCAGATATCTAACAAAGCCACGGGTAAATTCTCCGGCAGCTCTTTGGTAAACCCCAGTAGCACTGCATTGCTTGCAGATGAACGAAAGGAATATGTCAGTGGGCACTCGAATGGGTAGCTTCAAGCTCGATCAGTAAGGCTGCCGCTGTACATCAATATCTCAGCAATTTAAAAAAAAATGCTACTGTAATGGACAACGGCCCTATGCAGTGCCTTATGTCATGCGCAACATAGTGATGACCAGCACCAGGAGGGCAATGACCAGGAGCACTAGCATGAACGGTTGCCAAGACGACGACCACGACGAGGCGAAGAGCGCCGCCGTGTTGGGCTTGCTGGCATGGCGGGCGTCACGCGGGATTTCCGTCATGACGCGGAAGCTGTCCACCGGGATGCCGTCTCGCTTGATGCATTGCTTGAGGCCTGCACAATGAGTGTCACATGGTCCACGGCAGTCAAGACTCGGAGCAATTTTTAATAAGTTCCCGAGTGGAGTTTAACTGCAACGCAGAGTGGTGCTGGTGCTCAGCCAGCTGAGCATACGCTGTATTGCCAACGGTGATTGCAAACGAGTTTACCAATTCTGGCTCAGCCGGCGGCACTCTCGGCCGTGAAATTCGCCAGTGCTGATTGGTCAAGCTTGATAATACAGCACATGTGCCACAACAGTTCTAGTCCTGGAATTAACATTGCGAAATATGTTTGCCTTCACTTACTGGCTAAAGAAAGGCAGATACAGTAAAACCTTTTAAAACTAAAGACCGGCACCGTGACTAGCGACCAGCCTGCTACTACCGACCACTGCGCCAGGCACGGACGGTCTCACATTCATGTATGGCTGTGAGGTGCAAACCTCTAACTAAGGACCACCTGCCACTAAAGACCGCTTTCTCTGTCCCCAAGGGGTGGTCGTTAGTCACAGGTTTTACTGCAGTTGCTGCAGATTGACAGCCACGGCTTTCCACCAGCTACAGCACACGCATGCACCAGTGTGAGCCATGTGCTTCCCGTATTATACGGCTGCCTTCCATTGATCACTACAGCACGTGCCAGGTTCACCGTGACAGTGCGTTATCGTGCTGAAAACGAGACTCCCTGATTTTCCCAACTGTGTTCCCATAATCTCCCCAAGTTGCGAGTAAACCTGTAATGGAAATCCTAACGGCACATCCGATGCAGTTCAGACAAGACGCTGGTCCACAGCTAGGCTGAACGTGAGACTACTGCGAGTGTGACCCGCTGCTTACTTTCAAGTTCGGATTCCGGCAGGCCATTTGGAGCTTCGATGAATAGGTGTGCTTTGCCATCACGCTTCATGTACGTGGCATAGGTGATTAGGCTACACTGGCTCATCATCTGAACAGATAGGAGAAAAGCAGCGGGCAACCAAACGACAGGGTTCGGTCAAAATCATGAAAAGAATCCTGATTTGCGCAGGAAAATATTTCCACATTTACCGCATCTGCATGTATGGAGGTTGCATGGAGGTCACGGTGTGTCTCGGGACTAAGGTGTTACCCGCAGCTCCTAAAACGGGGACTGAAGCCGTTACTAGACCAGACCCACCACTGCTGGGATTTGTGAAGTACTCTTCCGTAGGGGCGCTGGCTGCAGCATCACTGAGGGAAATCTATCACTTGTGCACTATCAACTTGAGCAAGTTTCGCTCTCCGACACAACTTGACAGTACACTATAGCATATGTTTTCGCTCAGACACGATGACACCCAGCATGGAGAGTATGTGTACCTCTCGTGGAGTGCCTAACCATGATCTTCCGTTTCAAGTCTCATGACATCATTGTACGTGTACTCCCGGAACGCAACATACGAGTATAGTACCTGCTTGTAAAGTCATGCAACACGATAACATGTGTCACTCCTTATCAGCACAGCTCATGATGCACAAGGATCATTCCACACACAAAACCTTTGCTGAGATCACCAATCCAGGAGCACATGCGCCCGGAGTGTACATGCCTGTGCCCCCCCCCCCCCATCACCACCCACACACTAGCACCACCGCCACCTGCACCCAACCATGTATGCACGCACACACATGCACGCAAGCACATGCATCACGTACCTTCTCTTCAACGATCACGGACCAAAATTCTCGACCGTCTCGCTCGACCTTCCACGTCATTCGTCCAACTACCCAGACATATCCATCCTTGTCTAGATACGCACCATCGTCCATGCGAAGCCACTTTCTGCCTTGCCTGTCAAAGAGGAAGCGCTTCCGTGGCACCTAGTCAGAGCAATCGAGTCAAAGTTACAGATCAGAGGGGGGAGAGAGAGAGTGAGAGAGCGAGTGTGTGTGTGTGTGTGTGTGTGTGTGTGTGTGTGTGTGTGTGTGTGTGTGTGTGTGTGTGTGTGTGAGAGAGAGAGAGAGAGAGAGAGAGAGAGAGAGAGAGAGAGAGAGAGAGAGAGAGAGAGAGAGAGAGAGAGAGAGAGAGAGAGAGAGAGAGAGAGAGAGGGAGTGAGTGTGTGAGAGAGAGAGAGAGAGTGTGAGTGAGAGAGAGAGAGACAGACAGACAGAGAGTGTGTGAGAGAGAGAGAGAGGCTGAGAGCTGTACAACTTTGAGAGAAATAACAGCATTTGCCAGCCCTACATAAAGTGAAGTACGGCGAGAGTGTGATACCAAATTTCATACGGGTCTACAGGGCACATTATCTGCGGGAAAATCAACCAGATTCAGCCGATATGATATTCTCGTTTATTGTACTGGGTACACCACAGTATTAAAAGTTCACAAACTTACTTCATGCATATTGACACTCCAGCCGCGGAGCACAACTTCGCCGGCTTGTCCACAGTCTAGCTGTAAGTCTTCGAGTACAACATCATCGGGAATTTGACCTACCAGCAACGCCATGGAAAAGACGCCGAGTAAATATTATAAATACTCACGACTTGGGCCCGTACGCGTACTTGCATGAGCGGCAATGCACTGGTGCAACATGACTCAAGACTGACCCACAAGGCGCAACTCAAAGCTGCAGGAATCATGTGCATACACTTTGGTACCACCCCGAGACACGAATACTTGCACACTGTAGCAGTATACATGGATGTGAAAACATTCAACCGGCGACTACTTATGTTAGATGTCGAATTTCGACCGATTGCTAGGAACATATTTTTGTCAAAAAGACTCGAAACGAACAAACAAGGACAAAGAGTATACGGAGTAGTAGCAGCAAGGAGTCGTAAAATACCGGTATTATACGACTCCCTGGTAGCAGTGATCAGTCGTTAGCTGAGAAGCAAATTTTCTTTTTTCTTTCCTTTTTTCACCTAAGTGTTGATTTCAGTCAAAAGATGTTACGTCTGCACACAGTCACTGAGTGATGACTCGTGATACGTACTGCAAGACTAGGAAAGGAAGAAACATTTGTAAGGATATGGGCAGCCCCCCCCCCCTCCCAACCTATCTGGGTCAATGCAACCCCCCCCCCCTCCCAACCTATTCGTGGGTCAATGCAACCCCCCCCCCCCCCTCCCAACCTATCTGGGTCAATGCCCCCCCCCCAACCTATCTGGGTCAATGCATGGCACTGAGCTGCATGCTTTACCATCGTGCTGTTTGATGATCGCCAGGCTGCCTGGGAAATGAGGTTTGCCCACACAGTGTCCGCCCAGCGACGATGCAATCTTGCGCGCTGCCGCTTCTCGCTGTATCTTCTCCCAGGTGCCGATGCTCGAGATGGGCTCCGCTTCCGTGCTGCCGTAAATGGCAAAGCACGACTTTGTGTTGCCGTGCAGGAGGGTGTTGAGTCGGCTATAGATCGGAGCTCCTCCGGTGTGACCGATTGTGATTGGAACGTCTTGCTTTGTCGCGATGCAGTGCTGCACGATGCGCTGTAGGAATGCCGGGGAGCCGATGCATGAGCAATGCTGTCGTCCGGTCGTCTGCTTGGCACTCCGGCAGCGACTCAGGATCTCATCAACGTTACTACCCAGAATATCCGTCTCCAGGATACACGGTGCACCAATCTGCAGGAAACACATGCACCGACATGATGCAAGCATCTGGTTGAAATGCTTCCCAGGGCTGCAGTGTACATACTTTCGACATGAACAATACTCAATGTTGTCTGTGTATGATCCACTACAGGTGTTTCTATACCGACACATACATTAGCTCAGCATACAAGTTGATAAAACACTGGTGCCACTTTACACAGTGTGAGATGACTATATGGGGCGCAGCCTGCATCCATCAAAACCGATTCTCGGCTACCTGCGTGTCCGTTTACACTAGTAAAACCCTCTTCTGGGGCAACATTCCTCGCGGAAGTTGCCTGACGGTGCATGCCAGGAATCAAGTGGCCGATGTACACAGCTGCAGGAAATGGTTATTGGGGCACATGGCATGCGCGACAACCCGGAAAAGAGGCATGGCAAGGCTAAGGTTTCAGCCTACTTCACACTCTTCATCCGCTTTATCGAGAGCCTAGCCACACGGCTAGCCGAGAAGGCAGAAATGCCGGCGGCGTATCTGCTGAACTGGTAAATAAAAAAACAAACAAGCATGCAGGTCACTCACCGCAATGAACACCAGCGCTCCCACGGGCAGGTTGGTTAAGTTGACCATCTCACCCAGCAACGGCGTGCGACCTGCCGGGTTGAGATCGCGCTGCTGCGCGTCAAAATCGCACGCCGTAATACTAAGCACCTGCTTCATGACGAAGGAGTGGTGGCGCAGAATCATCTTCGGCAGGCCCGTGCTTCCGGAGGTGAACGTCACAAGAGCATTGCGCGCAGAACACACATCGTCCGCCGACAGCAAGTGGCGCGCGTCGGGCGACAGGAAAGGGCCAGAAATACCTGTGGGCAGCTCAATGAGCATTGGGATCGCACGGATTGATGAGAATATCCACTAGGGGCGATGAGTTAGCAGGCACACAGGAAAGCAGAGAGAACATTCTAGTATTAACCTGTTGAAGCTCTAGGGGTATATAGAAACTGCATGATAATCTATTCATTAGCTTGAAAGGAAGTTGCAAACGGGAAAAGTCGGAAGAAAAAAATTGACTGACACCACCAGGACTCAAACCAGAGACCCGCCTAGCTTATAGCCAGCAATGCTCTACCACTAAGCTTTAGTGTAGTCGTCACCCAAGCAGCGACCAGTCAACGTTTTCTTCAGACTTCAACTCATGCTTTCTGTGAATCCGCACAGTGCGCAGCCCTCACTAAAACCCACACACTTCATGTACAAACAGGCAATCCTTTTTTGCATTAACAATCCCTAGATTTTTGCTGGTTAGCAACATGAAATGTTCACAAATCCTGGCTTTATAATCAACATCATACTGAATGCAGTACAGCACATATTGTATTGTATTGTACTGAATTTACTTTACTTCAGTGGCTCAACAGTACAATGCCTTACTATACTACAAAGAGGCCCGGAAAACCGATCATTGGGAGATAAAAGGAAAAAGAAGGAGCGAACCAAAAACTAAATGAAGTGAGAAAAAAACAACAAACAAAAACAGGAATTTTTAACATGGAAATTGTGGGCACAAGTTATGCGATCGAGTCCACCAACTAAACCAGATGTTGAACAGTCAGACGTGCACAATCTAGCACAAAACTGACCAAAAATCGCATAACTTGCGCCCACAACTTCAATGTCACAATTTTTTTTCCTTGGCTCACCATCTAAGTTCTTAAACAAACAGGAATAAAATTTATATAAGCCGTATACCCTCACATGGCAACAACGCTTTTTGAATAGAAACATACCTTGGTATACCAGAATTCGGTGCCAATACGTAGCCATGCCTTCGGCTTGGCCAGCGTCAGGCAGTGGTTGACCTTGGTGATGCTCTTGAAGTTGCCTTTGTCAATGAGCACAATGACCAGTCCTGTGTGTACGTGATAACAATATACCATGTGTAGAAGAAGAACACACACACACACAAATGCATACGTCATACTCATACTCATACTCCTGCCCATCGCTGAAGCGATGGCAGCGAACAAGCTATGTTAGACATAGGAACTTGTGCTGGGATTACACCATTCAACAGCTTGCAAGGCTGATGAATTGACCGCCGCTAATTTTAGCCTGGTCTACACCAGACGGCTGGTTGAAGTGGCTTTCTCTGGCCAACGAATCCCTATTCTTAATTTTCATTTATTTTTTGCACACACACGCGCGCGCGCGCGCACGGGCAGCGTGCATCTTACCAAGTGCCCAGGCAGCGATCACAGTGGCGTAGAACACAACGCCGGGCTTCATGGTGGCAAGCAATCGATCTTCCTCCTTCAGGCCGCGCTCTTTCAGCACCGTGTAGATGTCACTAGCTAAAGCCAGCATCTGTGCAAACGTGCACGTCACGCCACCAGCAAACGACTGTAGAGAGGAGAGAACACAAACCAGAAGAGTGTTCGTTATTTAGCTTGGCGAGGGCACGTCGAGGGTGGTGGTGCTCCTGTGGATGGCAGGATCCTAGGAGAGGTCGGTATGACTGGCACTTGCACAAAAGCTTGAATGTTTATTGTGTGTGTGTGTATGTGTGTGTGTGTGTGTGTGTGTGTGTGTGTGCGTGCGCACGCGTGTATCGCGCGTAATGTGCGTGTGTGCGTGCGTGTGTGTGTGTGTGTGTGTGTGCGTGCGTGTGCGTGCATGCGTGCGTGCGTATGTGCGTGTGTGTGTGAAGGTCAGCTTGGAAACACATTGGCAGTGCGGGCAATAGCAAATTTCGGAGTTCTGTAATAGGTCAGGCGTCGTGCTCAGCACTGTATCTATGCTGCACCGTAGGCATGCACCGTAGGCTTTGGTGAATTCGATGGACCTCTAACGCCAGCATTTGACTGTATTGTGGAATGTTTGATGCAATGGTTTTGTTGGCCCTGGTTTAATGTTGGAAATGCACATAAGCCGCACTGGAAAGCCTTTTCTACATGTAGGTGAATTACTGGTGGTTAAAGTGCGACGTACGCTCCAGCAAATACAGTATTCGTCTGTTCATAGGATCGGCATTCGAGTAAATAACCAGAAATCACGGCTCATTACATCACTTCTTATTTGGGCATTTTCAATTGGGAAGTTGTGAAAATATTTTTTAAAGCGCCCCTGTCTGTAATTGATTGAGCAACGCGAGTGATCACCATCATTCAGTTTGCCCAGGGCTGTTCTAGATGTCCTTCCTCTTCCCTCTCGTTGCGGGACGGCAAAATCGAACGCACAGTGCATTTTATTCGTAAGTTTGAGCCCTTGAGGGAGTTGAACTCGTGTGCCCAATTCCCACACTCTCTGACTGTGTATTATCTAGCTACAGTCGTGCACAACTACTCATAACTCTTGCTTGTATCCGTGTGTACTTTTGAGGGAGTTGGTAGTATTATTTTCGGATCTAAAAAATGCAGTGGTCTGCACGTGTTGCGTGCAGCACATGCACATTGTCATGTTTCTACGTTCTGAGGATAAGATTATCTTCCTGCACGATACCCAATAGCCTAACCAGGCCTGATCATGGCGAAGCGAGGGTTTTCATAGCCACAATTGCTAAGCCCTACCATGCATAGCCGATCGGGATATCGTCGGCCATTGTCCACCATGACTCGTGCGATGTTGAACAGATCTTTCTCCGCTATGACAGCGTCAGGGGAGATCAGCTGCCTGTAGAGCTTTTCGCGCTCCTCGTCACTGGACGCTAGGAGCGGATTGCCGGACACCTCCATGACGATGAGAGCGGCTTGTAGTCACCGACTAACCTGTCAGCCACTGCCCGCTGATTATTATTATTCTTTCAATGGCAATTATGGGTTTCTCCAAGTAAGCAAGTAAGTAATTAGTTTTTCACTGGCACTGGCTCAGTCCACTGGCACTGGTTTGCAGTGCACTGCTAATCACATGGTGACATGGTGACGTCGTTGATGAGCTTGACTTGAAAACGCTTCACTTCTGTCCCTGAGGCCTGGCTGAGGCCCTTCACTTCACCAGTTCACTGCGGGCCGCTTCAACTAACTATTATTTTTACTACTTTCATTTTTCAAGCTCCACAGCCTTCAGCCTGCCAGAGCCAGGAACCAGTTACCTGAGCAGGCTGAGGAAGTCGGACGACTCCCTGGCTGGCGGGTTGCGACTTCCTGGAAGTAAGTAGATACGGCATAAGCGCCAGCAACAAAAGTAACATCGTCAACATGGTCAAGGAGTCCAGGGGCGTACATAGGGCGGTTCCCGGGATGCCCGGGAACCAGTAAAACAAATAATTCGATATGGGTACAGAGAATTTTTTGAGCCAGTCCCAGCGATAGTAATGCGCTCACAGACTCACAGTGCAAGTGCATGTCTAGTCTGGAGTCCGCCTGCCGGTCCGAGGACGGTGACTAGCCCAGGTGTGAAAGTGGTGCTGGGAGTGGGACACAGCGTAGATCTACTGAACTGGGCCATGCCTGAACCCATCTTGGGTTCAACAAAGTCTCTAGTCTAGTTACATCGCCGGATTCCTCGATCTCAGAGTCAAATTTTCTTTTGGAGTTTGTTTTGACAAAGTTGGTCGTGTTTTGACGATGCTTTCGCTTTGTGGAAAAGAAAAATGAAGCGTCGACATCCAGAGGGCCAGCGCTCTATTCAGCGCTATTTTGAGCTGCACTCCTGCAGGCAAAGTGTGTAGCCAGTGCTAGTGGCGAAGGTCAAGCGATAGATGAGAATGCAGACGCACCTGACGTGCAAGTGAAGTATGCATGCAACGAGCAGCGCTGAGGAAGAAATCGTCGGCGAAGCTGTAGAGCGACCGTTGTTGGAAGCTGCTGGATCATCCAAAACTTACTTCAATGACATGGGAGTGTGTTGGAAGGGATATTCTGAAAGTCGACGTCCACAGTGGAATCCAGTCCCCCGAAATTTGCTGGACACGGAAAAGATTTCCGTCATCGACAATCATTGTGCGCCACCGCAGGCGAAGGATTTCATTTCCTGTGCGTGTCCAGATGGATGGCAAACAGCGCCACTTTCAACTATCCTTGTTGGAGGAGTTACCCTGGATAGTCTTTTGACAGGCATGCAATGGTGGCTTCTGCTTGCCCTGTGTGATGTTTGCTCCAGATGATTCGAAACTTAGGCAGCTTTCAAGACTGCATGCAATCGTCATGCTGAACAAAACATCCATAAAACGGGGAAAAGTTCAGTCTTTTAAAATCATAAATGCGTAGCAATGACATCGTCCAGCAGCTTGTGGATGGCAATTTCACCCAGTCTGAGGAGAATATGCAGAAACTCTGTGGGGTACGAAAAACAGCACTTCAATTGTGTGTAATGGTGGTTCATCAGTTGGCATGGGAACCACTCCTGGAGGCGAGCGGCGTACGCCCCTGGAGTCCCTTGTTCAGTTGTCATGGTTGTTTGAACCATGTGAACTACGTGACTGCAAGGAGCCTTCTCATCACTCACTGACATCAGCCGAACGGATAAGCAAGGAGATGACAGTGTGTAGTGAAGGAGCAAAGGGGATGAATTCATAGCGCACATTGCAAGACTGAGTTTGCGGAATCAAGGTACGTGACTAGTACGTCCTTGTAAGCGCTAACAGCTACCTGTATAAATATTATGATTGAATGTGAGAGACTAGGGTAGCAAGGGAGGAAAACGAAACGAGCTATTTCAACAAACAACCCACTTCAGTGCGAGTGTATTCTGTCTCTGTTTGCAAATAGTCGAGCATGTGCTGCAGATATGGATAGCTTCCAGAGCTCTCAATACAATAGACATGGTTAGCATTCAGTTTACCGTTTGCGTTAAATCCAACGGTACTCGTACCCAGCACCCGAAATACCGTCGGTTTGGTATCGTTTCGACGATAGAAGGCTCTGTTTACCGGGAGAGCGAAACGGTAAGATTCCAACTAGGGTGACGTCACCAGCCGGTCGTTGTGTCAGTAACCGGAATGCTAACCATGTCTTGAAAACACACCAAAAACGGTGCAGGCCGACGGTCGAAGTTAGCAAAAACGGTAAAATGCTGATCATGTCTAATAATTTTTATGCCGTGCAAGCACGTGACAACACAGTATAATCACCATCAGAATATCTACAACGACACTGAATCAGTGATCAGGGTTACAAATGAGGCGATCTCTATCTTAGCGATATAAGAATCTGTCCCCGGGGGAAATCGCGATTCCGCGGCCGCGGTTTTTTCCGCGTTTTTTTGCGATATTTTAAAAGACCGCGCTTTCCGCGATTTTCTCCGCGTTTTTTGAACTTTTTTGTTGCACCACACGTACACACAGTGCACTGTTCGGTTGACCGTTGTGAGCCGTTGACGTCACAAACTGGTCAAGTAGAGAGTCTACGTGTAGGGCGCGCGCTCCCTAGCATACACATGGCACATGATGGGCTCCCCGCCTCATATCAACTGCAAACTTGCCGCATATCAATAATATTCACCGCATATTTATCGCCGCAAAGTCACCGCAAATTATGCCATATTTACCCGCAAATTACACCGCAAATTCTGGGATTTTTTCCGCGATTTTCCCCGGGGACAAAAGAATCAAACTAATCAAGAAGACCAACGGCGTGACAGGAGGCACAGGCATAACACTTACTTTCACTAGAAGACTGAGCTGACAGAGTCACAGACGACTTAGCTGACACTTCACATTTATAGATAACGCTAGACTTGACACTTTGAACCATATTTGGTCGGGAGAACAGCTGAGCGCGCTTTAGCAGACGATTGGACACTTCTCTTCTTTGGTGACTACCCTGACGATGAGGTGTGAGTTTAATTCTTGGGAGCTGACATGACATGCAGGGGGGGGGGGGAGGGCATGCTGGCGAATACGCCCATCCAGGCACGGTTGAAGCCTAAAGGATCCTGCCCACATACCACAGAATACACTTCCACTGAAGTTGTTTGTTGAATAGCTCTTTTAGTTTTCTCCCCATTGCTATCCTCTTCCCTCACATTCACTCAGTGTATAATAGCACCTACATGTACATGCACGAGGAGCATGATTCCGCAAACGTCTCCCGATGTACTTTCTTCCTACGTACAATATTAATGTATGGCCTTTGCTCCTGCTTTTAGGTATGTCTTTCACTGTTACCATGGTTATGTCTTTCACTGTCACCATGGTTATGCCTTTCACTGTACAATCCCTCTGATGATATTGTTCGGAAAACGTCCCAGTGACTCGGGTAAAGTTCGTTGAAAGTAACCATGGTCCTTGTTGCTGGTTCACTGCCTGTTCGCTCTTTCCATTGCCATAATCTGCTTCTTGTCTCCACGTAAGATACTTGCTGGAAGTGAACATACTATTATTCACCTACCAGGCACTAATACAGTGCTGGCAACTGGAATCCGACCCTCTGAGCAGTGCGCTCACATCGCCGCAAAGACCCACTGACACGGGATTGCAACGCGACGAAAGAGAGACTGCTAGAACGTGAATGCACCGGTCAGGGGGTCGGATTTCAGTGGCCACCGGTGTACATGGCATACCGTAGTTATGCACTTGAAATGTGCACGCAATATAATCATATTCACATTGCTCACAGTAAGAGGACAGGTACCGGTACTACTGCATACTTGCCAACCCAGCCAAAGCAAATCCCTTAGGGTGCGTTCTTAAATCCTCTCGGAAAAGTTGGAGACTCTCCGAAAAGTTCGAGAGCTGTTCTTATATCTTCTCCGACTTTTAGGAGGCTCTCCAAAGCTCTCCAAGCTCTCCAAGCTTCAGAGGTGGTTGCAACTTGGAGATTTCTGCGGTTTGGGATCAGCGCATGCGAACTACGACTAAAAGCCACGTGTTCATTATGAGTATACGCATTTTCCTTTTCGCATACGCACACGTGCATTACTACATTCATCACTCAAGATCGCTGCCCCTTTGGCGCTTCATTTTGCTTGACATGTGCAAAATATCTCCGAATTCTTCGAGACCCGTTCTTGAGTAATCCCAGTTTCTTCGACTTCTCTTTTCTTCTTCTTCTAGAAGCTAGAGAATATAAGAACGCACCCTTAGTCACACACCCAGTTTCCCTTAATTTTCTCTCATTCCCCTTATTTTCCTGGTTTTCGCCAATTTCGGCCAATTTCTCTTTTTTTGGGCAATTTTTGATTATTTTGCGTATTTTTCCGCAAAATTTGGCCAATTTTGTTCTTTCTTTTTATTCATTTCTAACCCATTGCTCATTGGGGGACCAAAACCTGAGTTTCTTGATTGTCAGATCGCCCATACATGTGTGATTCTGTGAAATGCAGGACCGCATGTGCCCTTGTCACACCACAAAACAACCTTTTTATGAACAGTTTGAACACTCATGGTTCAGTGCCAATACCGGTAGTTTTTCGACCAAAGTCAAAAAGCCCTGGTATGCCGGTAGCGACCGTAGTTTCCCGGTATAATACCGGGAAAACCGGTATGGTTGGCAAGTATGCTACTGTAAGAGTACTGCAAACATGTGCATGTGCATGTGATACTGTAGGCACCGTATTTTGAAACGATTCTAGCACTCTGAAGGGAGACACAGTGACTTGTTACTGTGAAAATTTCCACGTTCTTTTTAAAATTAATTTCCGGTACTTTCGGTCGTCTTTTCAAGACTACAATGTATTGATGTTGCTTTCATATTTATAATGTCAATACCTACACAAACACTGACACGCATTTAGCCCTTGGCGGATTATGCCGGCATAATATTTGGCATAATCTTGGGATTTCGTCAAAAAATTAGGCATAATATACGGATTCCAACGTGTAAGGTCGGCATAATCTTTCGGTTTAGACAAAACTTATGCTTAGGGCATAATACAGCTTTGTCCTCCGGCATTATACGGATTCCAACG